GTTTTATCCCAGAAAGAGAAGTTGGGGCAGGGGGTCTGGGAATCACATACAGAGTGGAGCAAGATCACTTATCTCTCATTGCAGTGGAAAAGATGAAGAACAAGTGCAGCTCTGCCTCTCTGCTTTTATCCCCACATGAGATAGCCCTGCTGATTCCCCACCCCCAGCACTGTAAATGCCCTCATCTGGGGGGGGGGAGCAGAGCCATCCATCCTGCCTTCACCTGGGCTTGTCTCACTTGAGCCAGGATCTCAGGAGGGCTTTGGATGCACCAAATTCTCACCCACCTCATTTCCTGATTGCAATCACATTGAGGGCACAAAACACCTGGATCCCGCTGGTTTGATCCACTAACTTCCACTGTCAAGGTGTCCTGGATGCACTAAGGCAGTGGTTCTCCATCTGTTTTGTATAAGGACCTATTTTTAAACATTGATGGCCAGTCCTGAGCCAGTGCCGCTCACTTCCAACCTGCTGCACCCAGGCCACCCCCGCTACCCAGTGTGTGGGGTATGGGAAGCCCCAAACAGCCCCTTGCAGGCTGGAATCAGCCAGCCTGCAAAGGAAAAACCATGGTTTCCTGCATATTTCTCTTTTAAAGCAGAATCCATTTTTTAAGTTTTTTCATGCCCCTTTTATATATACTTGTAACCCACGTTTGGGTTATGGCCCAGGGGTTGAGAAATGCTGCCCTAGGGGATGCATCATAGTCCTGTAAAGTTCCCCCTGTCCACCAATCAGCTCCTCCATCTCTGTGGTTCTGTTCCTGCCTAGTTCTGTAGATGTCTACAGCCTTGTCTGTGCAGTAGGACTTGGTTGCTTCCTCTAGGTGGCACTGCTGACTTCAAAAGCAGCCCTATCCCACCCAGATCCCATGGGAGGGTCCCTCAGGTCAAGCCCCACCCCTCTTCCTGTCACATGGCTCCCCAGCCACACACAGAAAGTTCCTCTTTTAATTAAGGGTCAGCCTGAGCTCCAGCTAGGGCTGCCCATGACCATCTGGAAGGGAGCTCCAAATATCTCAGGATTTCCTCAAGGGCACCCCCTGCTGGAATTCCCTTCCCCATCCTGCAAATATGATTTCCCCCAAAATGCAAATAGAAACAAGACAGCTCAAAAAGTCTTTTTCCTCATTCTTTTTATTTCCTGGAATTAATCATTAGAGAAACAAACCCGTATGGAGCCTGAGGGCACAAGGCAAGGGCAGGATGGTTGCAGAGTAGGCACTGTGGACTGCATTGCCATCAGATGGGCTGAGGCTCAGGAGAGGAACATTGCTAGGGTCAGCGCAATGAAGGCTGGGAGCAGAAGCCTGGAGTGTCCTGGAGCTGAACTGGCCAGTCTGTAGGCTCCAGTGTATGTGTGCTGGCTGATGTGAACTTGAAATACTTTGAGCACTTTTTGGCTGCCATGTCCAAAGATGTCTACAAAGGCAGAGGCAGATGGAGTTGTACAGCTCATGCCAGACTTTGGCATACTGACAGGATCTCAAGATGGGAAAGAGAAGAGGGATCAGGGTCAGGAGGTCCACCGGCACTTCCATCTTTGTGTCCAGGCCCTGTCACTCCCTGCCCTACCCCCCCCCCCCCCCCCCCCCCCCAACCATCCAAGACCACAGCCATATGACTCTGCTCTGCTTTCCCAGCCCTCATGCCCCCATTTCCTGTTCTACTTCAACAAAGCTCAAGTGTCCCCTGGTAAAGACCATTGGGCCCCATCCAGAGCCAGCTGAATCTCACCCTCAGCCCTCAGTGCTCTTTGGAACAGGTCTGACACCACCTCACCATTCAGAGAGCAAAGGAGCCACGGAAAGTTTTGCCAATGGTGCCATCTTCAAAAACCATGGCCTTGTAATCCATGGAGGCACCACCAACCAATGTCTTGGGTTGCATTCCCACCTCTGCCATGGCCTGCCAAGGGGGATTTGAACCCTCAGTGCCTTACCCCCATGACCAGACAAAGGAAGATACAGGTTCCCCCTCCCCCATTTCATTTGCCCCAGTGGGGACCCCTGATGCAGCCCCTACTGCACTGGACAGGCAGATGAATGCACCCAGAGAGGATAGAGGCAGGGAAAAAGAAGGCC